TATAATTGCAGTGAAAATGCTCGATGATAGTAAAATATTACAACATCGAGTAATTCACAAATTTTATTTCTTTGTAGAGTAAATTTTTTATTAGATTGTAGAGGAAATTTACTTTACAAAAAAGTAAAAAAAATTTACTTTCGGTATAGCATTTTATATTCAGGTATAGTGATCTGTTCTTCCTGTCAAAGGGGTAATTTACTTTACTAAAGTAGATGTTGCACTATTCGTTCGAGTAATATCGCATCACTTTTATCTTTCCATGTTTCTCATGGAATATTAAATTGTCTTACTGAAATTTTTATAAATATTATAAAATAAAACAGAAATAAAAAATTTCAATTTACTTTCTTCATGTATAATTTCCAAATTTTATTTGCACTTTTATTCTACACTTAAAGTTTCATATTCAGTTATTAATGATATTTTAAATATTTATTATTTAAACAATTTAGTAAATTTTATTTTTTTTCACATATACTTAATTCGCATATTTCTACTTTGAAGTTGCCCTAAAATTTTAACTTATATTTTTATAAAATTTCAAATACGACCTTAATCTGTTCGCTCTCAATTAAAACTCAGAAAAAATTCAAAAATAATAACTTGTTAATAAAAGTTCCTCTAAAAAAGAATAATATATCAAAAAATACTTCGTAAATAAGTAAAACCACTTCCCAAAAGTAAATTTTACTCTACTTTGAAGTAATTTTCAACTTGATACATGATAATTACTTTCTTTAAGAGAAAAATCACTATACAGCATTAACTTTCCTCGATTTTGTCGAAAATTGGCACGCTAATCGAGAAACTGCGAAATTATTTTCAAATAGAGTAAAATTAAATATGCTATAATGTATATACTGCATTAATTATAGTAAGAATTACTATATTTTTTAGCAATTTTCAATCAATTTTTTTCAGTGAAGCTGTAACATATTTTTACTACATTAAGCCTTTTTTCAGTCTGAAAATTTATTGGTTGTCGCTTAATATACATTATTTCATATATAGGTATCAATTGAAATTGAAATATCTATATATTGAACATATACTGCTTTAATAGACCTGCAGAGTTTATAATTTTGTAGTTGTATTTGAAGTTGACATTTGTCTCCTACTATATCTTTTTTATAATATTATACAGAGTGTTTCGCATATGGTGGCAAGTAATCTCAAAGATGATTCTTTCATCAACTTCCAGGTTGCAAATATACTGGTTTTCCAGCTCCAGCTTGTTGAAAAAAAGGTACCAAACTTTTCCTGCACATTAATAAATGCTTATAGCTTTGGAAAAATGCAACATAGTTATCATTAGAGTTTGTTTCACAGGCGATTGATTATTCTTTATTCTTAATCTTACAATTAATTTGATTTGATCCATAGTTTTCGAAATACAGCTAGTCAAAATCAGTTTTTCCTGGAAATTGATCAAAGAATCATCCCTGAAATTATTTCCAACCTTATGCGAAACACCCTGTATATTTTAATTTGCACAAAGAGTGTGGTAAAAAATATGTATGACAAGAAATAACTAAAAACTGAAGAGTCATAATGAGTTGGCTTCAAATTCAAAGGCACACACACAGATATATATAAAAATAGTTCTACAATTAATACAAATAAAAACGCAGAATATCCTTTCTTCAGTTGAAGAAGAACACACGAAATATACGTCCATGAAGTCATAATATTTATCAGAAAAACGAGAAAACGGGTTTTTACCGACACAATAATTATATAAACAAGTAAAAACGTTTCAGTCGGTATAAACCGATTGAATTATACCCTGCACCTTTTGTTGTTGTATAGCAATTACTCAAACTTGTGAAACCATTCTATAGAAATTTCACGGATATGTCTGATTTATAACTGGACACACAACTGCCAAGTTTCATGAATCTGACTTTATTTTTCCAAATATTTAAACTTTTGGACTTGTATGGGAGCTACTCGTAGCTGTAGAGCAATTCAACCAAAACTTCAGAAATATATCTGACCTATAACTCGACACACAACTGCCAAGTTTCATGAATCTGACTTTATTATTTTTCCGAATATTTAAAATAAGCTTTTGGAGTTGTATGGCAAGTACCCGAACCTGTCAAGCAATTCCATCAAAACTTCAGAAATATGTCTGACCTATAATTGGACACACAACTGTCAAGTTTCATGTATCTGACTATATTATTTTTCCAAATATTTAAAATTAGCTTCTGGAGTTGTATGGCAGGTACCCGAACCTGTCAAGCAATTTCTCTAAAACTTCAGAAATATATTTGACCTATAATTGGACACATGACTGCCAAGTTTCATGAATCTGACTTTATTATTTTTCCGAATATAAAAAATTTGCTGTTGGAGTTGTATGGCAGCCACCCGAACCGGTGCAGCTATCCCATTATAATTTTTGCAGCATGTGTAGAATATAATTGGACATATGTATACAAAATTTTATATTTATAGCTTAATTAGTTTTTGAAATATTTAAAATAAACTCTTTGAGTTGTATGGCAGCTACCCGAACTCGTTGTCCGAATTAGTCCAATAACAATAGGACGGACGGACGGACATGTCTAAATCCACGCAGAATTTTACGTTGAGCAAGAATATATATATATATGTCCATACCGCAGATGACTCCTTCAAGTAGTTACAAACTCCATACCAAAGTTAATATACCCTTCACGAAGTACAGGGTATAAAAACACTCATCATACAATGATTTGCATTTAATACGAGTATATTTCATGAATTTCTAACATAGTTTAAAATCTTAGTAACAAATCTTAGTATTCTAATTTAATTTTCCGTCTAACGAATTCCTAATTTTATTTTTTATATTTAATAACCAATACTAAAAATAAATAATTATTGTACAAAAATATACAGAAATATGATGAAGAAAATAGTAATCAAATATAATTCCCCTTATGTTTTTTATACATAATAAAATAATACCAAACTCATTTATGCGAAATTCGGCCACATTACCCAATTCATTTTTGCAAAATTTCAATTGATTGGCCCAAATAAAATTCTCCAGTGAATTTTTCACATGATATATTTTTCTCCAGTAAAAAAATTGTTAATAACTTACATATTTCTTTTAATTTTTTGCTGTCACATACGTTAGCTACTTTAAGCAAACATAAAAGCCGTAATAATCAGCCTAATCGTGTATCTCGCGTTTTTTACTCACTTTTTTTTTACTTTCAAATCAGAATTCTCCGTTTTTCTAATGGATATTTCATTTTTCCTATAAGATTACACATTTTTTCAGTTGTATTTTTGCATTTTTTTCCAAATTATGGGCTGAACGTCTCACTTTCAAAAACAAAGTGAATAAATTTTGTATACATTTTAGAAAAAAACGAGAATTATTTGAAATAGCAAATAATTCTTCCTAGTCGAGTAAAATAGCAAGATAGACGACCGCGCCCTTTATTTTTGCTTGCTCAAAATGTCATTAGAGTAGCTCAAATATAGTCAATAACTTTAATTACAAGTAGCAAATAGTAATAACTTTAATTACAAGTAGCAAATTGAAATGGAATTCTGGCATTTTTTATAATAAATCATTTGTGAAAATTTGGTGTTTACTCAATTAGTTATTGCTGGGGCGTACAGACAGACATGGCTAAATCAACTCAGAGTTCGATGCTGATTAAAAACATATACTTATGCCTGTATGTCAGGCACATATTAGCGTTATAAACGCGGTAAATGTGTGTAATGTCTTTCAAACATACGTTTGTACGGATATAAAAAAGTGCTTTTTTGTTTCCATTCAGTCTCATCCTTTATTTTGAACTCTTTTTTCTATCAATTGGTGAACAGCAATGTTCTCACCTTTTTATTAAGAATGTGCTACTTTACCATTCGCCTGTGTTTGATTCCAAATCGAATCATTTTTTTATGCTCGTTTAAGAGCCATTGTTTATCCATATTTAAAAATTATTCAAGAAATTTATTTTGTTTTCATTTTGGTACGCCGACGAGATGAAAAAAGTTCACTCTTCCTTTATTCAAAATAAAAATGGAAAAAATTACTTTTTTTTAAAAACAAATTCTAATACTCTAATAAAACAATACTGAGAAAAGAGTTTGCTATCTATGGGAAAATTAAATTAAAAAACAAAACAGCAGATATTCGTATATTAAGAAGAATTTAAAAAAAAAAATTTTAAAAAGAAACAACAAAGTAATAAAATGAAAAAGATTTTTTTGTTCGTTTCCAAATAAAACGCAGCAAAATAAAAATAAAAGATTTTGCTTCTTCTTTGAAAACTGAAAGTAATAGGAATAAGAAGAGTTTTCTGCTCATATTTCAAATTTTTACTTTTCTGATCCTTAATTGAGCATTAAAAAGTACTAAAGTTGAGGTTTTTCATTCGAATTGAATAAAAAAAATATTTTCACTTTTGAAAGTAAAACAAAAATAAAAAAATATTATCTAATAATAATAAGATTATCTTTAAGATTATTTTGTAATTTAATTAGAGTCACGTTATGATCGAATTTTGCTTTTAAATTTGTTACAATTACATTTGAAATCTTCAATTTATAGTTTATTATTTTAATAAAATGTTTTATAATGAATTTAATAAATAAATGAAATTGATAAAAGGCAAGCTAAAAGAATTTTCTTTTGAACAAAGTCAGTTATAAAGAGAAGGATAAAATGTTGAGAACATATGGAATACGAGTATTGTATTAAAATGCACACGGAAAACCATTTACAGCAGATTTTAAGAGATATTGAATTTTGTTGACCATTATGCGAATTAATTTTTATTAAATAATTAAAAAAAAAATTTTGCTAATAATCTACAGAAGACAGTTTCTAAATTTAGTGATTTTATTCAATTAAAAGAACTGATTAATAAGATTAATTTAGGGTTGATGTATTACACCACTGTTAAACAGTTTTATAATTTTTCATTCAAAATTATCATGAAATGATCAGTAAATCATTGTTTCTTTTTTTTTATTTTTAGAACATTTCAATATTGATAGTTTTATTGTATGCGTGGCGAATTAGTGTAAATGTAAAACGTTCTGATGACTTAGAGGACGTTTATTATGGTAAGTGTCAATTTATATTACTAATTTAAAATGTATTAAAATTTTTTAATTCATATAATTTTACATAATGATTTTCAATTGACAAAAATGTGCACATATGCATAAATATATTAGTATTTAAATGTATTAGTATTACCTATATTACCACATATATCACTTATGACAAAATAGGAGCATTAAATATACTTGACATAAGTAGTTTTTCTGTATTATAAGAATTTTATGCACCTGCAAAAGTTTTATATAATTAAAAAACTGAAGTAATGACACATATAACTATTACATTAATAGAGTAACTTAATACATATATTTATAACAATTATATAGTTACATACAGTGTCCCGTTTGTCCTATTTGTACAGTGTTTCTCTAAAAAGGGTCATTTTAATTTTTCCTGTATGGAAAGAAAACAAGTAATAAATTAAATTTACTTTACCTTATAACATTTGTTTATTTCTCATGTGTTCTGTGGTTGTATGAATTATTAAATTTTCTTTATTATAACTTAATTACGAATATAATTATTTTAACTTACTAAAAAATTAATTATTTTGTGTTTTCGTGAAATCCAAAATATTTTGTTTAAAATATAAATTGCCATTATAAAATTATGTGTCAAGTACTCGTATATCGCCATAACAATAATTATAGTTGTGTTGCAAAACTAATGCATAGTGCATTAGTCCAGTAGAATTTTTAGATTGAAAAATAAAACAAAATTTACCAAGTCAAAAAACAGAAATATTATTTTATAGCACATTCTTAATGCTTCCAAATGATTTTTATTTTTAAATAATTGTAACTACTTTTATAATTTGAAAATTATTCCGAATTATACTACTTTAACATAATTATATGTATAGTACAATATTGCCAAATCATTTTGAATATGTACAAATAAAAGCACAACATTTGCTAGTCGCAATATTTTTAAGCAGCTTATTATAGCATTTCAAAGAACAATTTAAAGCAAAATTAAGAAATCTTATAGAGAAAAATACTAAGTTTATATGCCATGATATATAAATCATCATACTTCTTCTCATGTATAGGACAATGAAATTTTCCTCAAACACAAATAAAGTCTTTTATGAATTTCTTTAGAAGACCAAATGCTATGCGTGCTCCATAATGCGCATATACGCAATATAAAATAATAAAAAATGTCATAAATAAAATTCCACTCCATGACATGTTTAGTATATTATATTTCGTACAAATTCACACTTCACATACATATCTCATCGTATATTATAAAAACTGTATTAATGTGCTCATTATATATACTAACACTTAGACATAAATAGCTATAAAATAAAATTTTGTAGGATTTACCTTGCAAAATATTCTACAAATTTCCGTTTATTATAAAGGAAATTCAGTGGAACATTCTTTTGGAATAAGAAAAAAAAAATTTTTGTTTTCTTTGTTTATCATTGAAAATGATTGACGATTTCCATATGCAAATTTAAACATACATATATATTAATGTGTATACGATTTAGTAAATCAGTATAAATTACAAGTTGATTCCGTTACTTTATTGCTTACGTAATAACTAAAATTTATTAAATTCTTTTTTTTTTTTTGCAAATTATCACAAATATAGTCTGTCACAAATATTTAAAAAAAAAATATTATTTTAAAACTTCTAAGACTCTAAGTAAGTTTTGATACCATTCTTAAACAGCATTACAGAAAATAGTCTGTTTTTAAGTTTCATAATAGTTTCAAAATTTTTAGAACTAAGAACTTTTAGATGAAATGTATGAATTATAATGATAAAATAATATAATATATACGCAATATATTTTTGACAGTTGTATAAAAACTTGCTATTTTGAATTTGCAGAATTGTGTTTATGAACAAAAAATGTCGTTAAAAAAAAAAATCTGATGTGGTCAGCACATAACCGACCGCATTGTGTATTGTCTAGTTAAATGAAAGTGTTACAGAATATTATAAAAATGTCTGTTAAATACTTCTTTCCAATTTTTAGGACATTAGTAAGCTTATAATTAACATACTTAGAAAAATGTAAATTTGGCTCTTAGTAGAGTTTCGCTTTGTGTTACCCGAATTCCCTGAAATGCTCGCCAGTTAGTTTGGGTAACAACCAGAACTCAAATATCAAATTTCAAGAAATTCCATCAATTTGTTCTGTGGATATGGTGAAAAATGTAAAATCGGCCCGCAAATCAGTTCTCGAGCCCTGATCTTTCCAAAAAAGTTATATGTTCATTGCTTTAATATGAGGAATTCATATATTAAATTTCAATGAAATCGGTTGATTATTTCTCTTTATATACACAAAAGTGTATGTTTGGCCCGTAGTAAACGTCTAGTTGCCGATGCCTGATCTTTCCAAAAAAGTTATATGTTCATTGTTTTAATACGGGGAATTCATATATTAAATTTCAATGAAATCGGTTGATTATTTCTCTTTATATACACAAAAATGTATATTTGGCCCGTAGTAAACGTCCAGTTGCTGGTGCCTGATTTCTTCCAAAAGTTAGGAATTTTTGCGTATGTTCGAGCAAAGCTTATATATGAAATTTCAAGTAAATCGGTTGAATACTTTCTTCAAAATGGTGAAAAATGTAAAATCGGCCCGCAAATCCGTTCTCGAGCCCTGATCTTTCAAAAAAATTTATATGTTCATTGTTTTAATACGAGGAGTTCATATATTAAATTTCAATGAAATCGGTTGATTATTTCTCTTTATATACACAAAAATGTATATTTGGCCCGTAGTAAACGTCTAGTTGCCGATGCCTGATTTCTTCCAAAACATACGAATTTTTGCGGACGGTCGAGCTGAGCTTATATATAAAATTTCAAGTAAATCGGTTGAATACTTTCTTCAAAATGTTCAAAAATATAAAACAGGCCCGCTAAAAAGTGCAGTTCCCGAGGCCTGATATATACCAAAAGTTGATCGATCCGTGCCATGGTGGAAACAAACTTACATATAAAATTTCATCAAAATCGGTTCAGCCGAACTTGAGATACACGCGTGCACACACAGACCGACAGACCGACAGACCGACAGACCGACAGGTTGCTAAAAATAGTTTATTTACACTTCCCTACTATGGAGAAGTACGTTCCCACCGAAAACTTGATATGCAAAATTTGTTGCCATCACATAACCTACCTATTGTTTACTCAATACGGTCGGTAAAAATTATTTATTTTGGCCAAATAGTGGAAATTTCTATTTCAGAAAAAATAAAAACTAACTGATTTAACTGCGCTAGACATGATAATTTAAATATGTTTGTGATAGATTAGCAGTGGCTATGAACAAACTTGATTAGCAACATTTATTTATGAACACAAATATAGCGCAGTACGCGCTATATATCGCGATATACTGTGTTTATGAAAAGGCCATATACTTCGGATAAGTAAAAGGCGTAACTTTTTTTAAAAAATTAATATTAAGTTAATTACTTGATGAACATTTTTTCTACAAAATTTTGAAAAATAACTTTGATTCTATATCATTTAACAATGGATCATCAATAAAATTTTATTATCAGCAACATCTGCAATACTTCAAGTTTAGATCAAAATATAATTGTGAAACTTTACATGAAGCACAAATGTAACAATTCCGTTTATTGAATTATTATAATTATTTGTAAACTAAATTTTTCACTAATCTTATATTTTTCAGAAAAAAAAACTTTAAAATTTTCATCACAAATTAATATTGAAGTTGGAAATCTGAAACAATTTAAAATATTTATGCAAATTGTCAAAATTATACACGAATTATTTCAGAAAAATTAATTTGTATGCAATATAACTCAGAATATACGTACTGATGTAATGTCAATTCACATATTTAAAAGAATCAAAAAATTTAAAAGAATTAAACTTACGGAATATTCCACTTTAAGATATTTATTCTTCTAGCGAAATATTCCCGCAAACTAAAAAAACAAAATGTGTCTTCCGGCCCATTCGTTTGTTTACAAAACTTGTACTTTTTTTCACTACAATATTTGGCACAGAAATTGATCATTGGGAGAAACCTGCCGCTCTTACTAAAAGAAAAAGATTTATTATCATGCCTTCTCTAAAAGTAGCAGCCCCTCAGAGTCCGAAAAACGATGTCACCATTTTTAGTGGTATAAAGATTTGTTTCTTTTCGAAAATAGAGCATTGTTTAGAAATGGAGCAAAAACAAAAGCAAATGCTTATAAACCTTGAGGGAAAATGAACCACTTTACAAGCCATTGGCTTAATCAAAATTTATTATTAATAGACCTAAAACAGATCATTCCGATTCCTGAAATTTCCAATGTCTTATTTTAAAGACAAAAAATTTTTGCTGACAATTTTAATGTTTAATGTTTGAATGCAATATGTTGTTGACAATATTTTAGTGTTTTATTATTATATTGCATTTTCAGTAAATATTTTTAGCAGCTGAAGTATTCAGATTGTTGTTTACTTGTTTAGCAATACTTGAATATTTGTTTAGTAATATTTAGAACGTTTAAATTCTGACAAAACGAAAATTGAAAAAACTGAACTTGCTTTACGTCCTATTAAAGAAAGCCTTATGTTAATGAAATACACACTTTTTCCATTAATATTTTGCTCTGAAGAAAATTACAATATTCTTAAGAACCTGAAATATCTTTTCCATATAGTGATTCTAAATTAGTAACAAACCACCCCGCAATAAAAATAAAAAATTCATAAGTTTAGTAAACTTTTCAATAACCATTCTGCATGTAAGGCGATACAAAGCAATTGAGTTATTCATACTTAAAAAATTTAGATTACTTTATTTTAAAGTATGACATTCATGCGTATAGCATCTTGAATTTGTATAGCATTGAAATCGTATAACATCTTCACCTAACCTAAATTCAGCAATGCAGAATATATGTTTGGTTCTCAGCATAAAAATCTTTCTCCTAATTTGCTTCTACTTGGACACAACTGTATTGATTAATAAAACTTTTTAGTTTTAAAA